AAGCCAAATTGGATACAAATTCTTTGATCCATTTGTTTTAACGAACGAAAATCGCCGAGCTCATAAAAACACGTCTAACCTTAGCGGCTGCCACAGACAAAGTAAACAATGAAATCAGCTAAAGTTTTTATCATACTTCGGGGGCATGTATACCAACATAATAAAGAAAATTTTATGACAACCGGACCCTCCGAACTCGCGAAATTTAACAATTCCCGTTATTTTCTGAACACACCTCGTACTTATTGAAAAAACTGTTGTTTAAAAATGTTGTTATCATTACAAAAATAGTATTTTAATAATTGCAAAAGTAAAATTTTAATAATGCACCCGCCACTGGTTAGTATGCACACGTAGTATAAAGACCATCGTATCTATAAATTCCTATCACGATTCACTTTTCTATTACTCATACAGCCGCACTACAAATGGATATCGCACTACGAGTACAAGCGATGCTGTTATTAAATTCGGTTTATTTAAATTTGTTTTCTCCTTTACAATGACTATACAGGGTGTCATTTTGTAATCCAAAGAACGATATTGCGTTATTTTCGAAGCACCTTGTAGATGGTAAAGGGATCGAGGGCGGCTTGTTTGCAGCCGCGGCCGCATCCTCTCACCCATTATCTTATTTTATTCGGAAAGTTTCGCCGCATGGCAGTAAACACTCCATTCAGATGGACTGTTTCTTGCTGTTTAATAAACTATCGCGCGCCGCAACTTTACACGCCGTTTACAAACTTATTCTTCTTTGCTTTGTTGCAAATTACAATTTAACATTTTGTGGCTACGGGGGTGGGAGAAGGAGTTCCAAAGAAAAGCATTTAAGGCACGTTTTTACGACAAGTTTAATTGATCGATTATTCTTGCTTGTACTATGCTCCACACCTCAAAGTCCCACCACGTGACCACGTACGGAACGCAGTCTTTTGAAAATTTGGCATTTAAGGCTTTTCAGCTTATGTATCTGTCAAAGTATAGTCTATAGTATAGTCTCACAATAATAATGGTTGGTTTAATAATTTAGGAATATAAAAACTGCATTTAATGAAATTTCAAAGTGTAAGGTGCAATATAAGTGATGTTTTTGTGCATTGGGTCTACATTTCTCCATAAAATAGTTTTAACTAAACAGCATTTATTAAAAAAAATCTTACTTCTCTATTATGAAATAAGAATATCTGTATTAAAGGTAGGTTAATGTATTAGAACAAAAAATATCATCTAATTTTGTATTTTAAGGTTAGAAAAATCTATTTTGACCAAAATAAATGAGTGGATTATTTGGAAGAGTGTGTTAATATGGTCATAAATAAATATAGGTATACTAAATAATTGTTGAATATGGTTCAAATTAAATTGAAGCTTTTATACTTCCAACGACAAAACTTGTGCATACCTCTCAGCATACCTACTTCAAGTTAGATTATAAGAAAATAAACAATTTTTAGAGAAACTTGCAATGTGAAAATATTTAATACTTCCATGACATGTGATTTATTAAAATATTAAAGTTATAATGATTTTTTGATGTAGATCAAATTCAGTCGAAGCTTTTTACTATTTGTATTGACTATTTGTATTGACAAAACTTTATGTAACTAGGTACACTTTAAGCTGGATAAGAAAAACTACCACATTTTTAAATACCATATTATACTGTCTTTTAAATAATCCAAAATACTTATTTATTTTGGTCAAAATAAATTTTTCTAACCTTAAAATTACAAAATTAGATAATATTTTTGTTATAATATATTAACCTACCTTTAATAAAGATATTCTTATTCCATAATAGAGAAGCTAGATTTTTTTAATAAATGCTGTTTAGTTAAAATTATTTTATGGAGAAAACCAGATATTTGGACCAAATGCACAAAAATATTACTTATTTGGCACCATACACTTTAGAATTTCATTTAATGCAGTATTTATATTCTTAAATTCTTAAACCATCCATTTTTATTGTAATTTTATAAAAAATTAATACATTTTTAACGTCTAAACATAATATTATTTCTTTCGTTGACTATACTTTGACAGATACATAACATGAAAAGCCTTAAATGCCAAATTTTCAAAAGACTGCGTTCCGTACGTGGTCACGTGGTGGGACTTTGAGGTGTGGAGCATAGTACATTTCAATTAAAACTGATCAACAGGACAGAGGAGGGGGAAAAGGGGCAAATAAAACTATAGTTTGCTTATAAAATCTATAAAAAAAGTTATAATGTTATATAGTAATCAACTTAATAATAACACTATGATAGTTTTAGACACTAAGTACTCCAGCTCAGTTTAACTAATTTTGGGCCGCTAATTTCAAAAATTTCATTTGTTTTTCTCTAGGAGGTCTGGGATTTAAAATAATTTCGTAATAAAATGCTCTGCTCAATCACCTCAAAATGTAAGTTTTTTGTTAGTTTTTTAATTATTTTTTAAATTATTTTGGCTTAAATTTATCTTGAATGTACTGAAGTAATTTTGTATACGACAAATAGATCATATTTATCTTAACAATATGACATTTTAAATACTAAAACTAAAATTTTAATGTATTTTATGTAAAAAAACAACCATTATTTGACATTTTTGTCGTTCATTTTAATTATTAAATTGAAAGGGCAACAAAGTAAACAAGTTTCAGTATTTTTTATCCAAATTAAGCCCTCAAAATTAAATGCATTGGATAATTTTGCTTTTTTTTACCTTAAATTTATTAAATCGTATCAAATATCGAATTGGATTATAGTATTATTGTGCTTAATTCTCATCATCGTCGTACATCTTTTGCTGCAAATTCCAGCGAATGTCTCCTAGCAATGAATCCATGTTCAACAGTTCGGCAAATTTATGATGAAAAAAAAGAAAATGTATTTTAAATAACATATTAACGCTAATTCTTTTCAAAACGGAGAGCATTTTTTCAACGAATTGGCGCCAATTTTAGGCCCGATATGAACCAAGAACAGTTTCAATGACAGCTTTAACACTGCCATATGCGACAAGCTCGTAAACTTTGAGAGCATTTTTGAATGCTTTATCTTTCATTAAACGTCGTATATCAGGTGCATTTAATATTCCTGCAAAATTAAAGTAGTAGGTATATCTCATAAAATTTTTAATGAAATATTGCGTAGGTTTTTCTTGGGCGTAAAGGTACCGCAACAAAAAAAACAAATTTACATCTCTTTTCTATTTCTCTGCCACTTCCTGCTCTTTTTTCATTTTTGGTTCTTAAAATCACTTTCAAGTAAAGATACAATTCAAAGTTTAAATTTTAAATGTTAAAAATTAATAGATTCACTTAAATGAGCTTGAACAATAAAGTAGATAAAGGCGCCTTTATACTTCAATTTGATATTAAATTTTGATAAGACCTAATAAATAAGATTGGAGATTAAATTTTTGGGTACTTTGGGCATAATGTAAATAAAAAAATATCAAATAATAGTCGAAGAGTAATGCTTATACCGAAATCCATTTACTTTGTTGCCTTTTCAATTAAATTAGTAGATAATTAAAAAAACGACACAAAAATTTAAAAAAATTATACATTTTAACAAAAAACCATTATAATTTTAGTTTAGGTATTAAATACTACTATAGTATGCGGCTACAATGAAACAAAAAAATCTATTTTACATTTATCTACCGATGACTTTGTATGGAGTCCCTGTATATTTTTGACAAAAAATTAAAAAAATATACTGAACATTCACAATAGATTTAAGGCAAGATAATTTAATAAATAATCAAAATATTAACGAAAAACTTACATTTTGAGATAATTGGGCAGAGCATTTTCATACGCAATTATTTCGAATCCTAGACGTCTTGGAGCAAAACGAGTGGCATTTTTGAAATCAGCAGCCCAAAATTGGGTAATATAGGTGGGCGTACTCAATGTTAGTAATTCGAACTATCATAGTGTAATAATTATAATGTTTTTTAAAGATATAAAAAAATATAGAAGGCCATGATGTACAGCTCTGTATACACGAGTATATATATATACACAACTGTTCCAAGTTGGCGCGTTTTGCCTCATATAAAGTCAAGGTAAATAAATAAGTACCCATTTCTAAAAATTTGTCTATATTTACATTTTCATTTTTACAGTTTTAAATAAAATATACTGTAGTTTCTATAGTTTCTATACTTTTTCCGGCAAGCGAAGTTTTATAACATGATTCCTAATATGCAACCGTAGCGTTATATAAAATATGTATTAAAATTTACAATGTAAAAGCTAAAATTTAAAATTTGAAATAATTAAAATTAATTTTAAAATATGTAAGTTTTTGCCATATTTCATCTAAATAAATGTCTTTTGTATTTGATCATGCAGAAAAGATGAACTATTTTTACTTTAGGTAGATAAAATTTTATTATTTCCGTCATTTTCCTTTAAAGTTTAGTGACACAATGTATTTAAAAGCACATAAACCGTTTAAAAGAATGGAAGTTAAAGTTCAATTGCTTCGGAAAATTAAACGATCATCTGGGTATTGCACTTTATTTCTTTAATATCGTAAAATTTTATATCGCATTCGATATCTCGGACCCGCGCCAAGCCAACTCTAATCAAATTAAATGCTAGTGAGTTGGCTAGATAATCGATAGACGCGTTAAGAGTGCTGTGTGTTAACAGGTAGTCGGAAAAACGATCATAACAGGTGCGAGAATTAGGGGTGCCTCTTAACTACGAGGGATTTTGAGGGTTTTTTGTGTGGGGGATAATTTTGTTGTGCTTCTATTGTGTTTGATGTCAACAAGTGTAATTTTTAACATCATTTTCTTTGTTTCAGATTTAATATGGAAGGGTTGTCAAACTGCCAGATTAGACATTCTAAACATAACCAAACCTAGATAAACTAAATATAAAATGTTAATACATATCAATTAAAAGTTAATTAATTATTAAATAAAAATAATGAAATTATAAAATGCACAACTAATTATATTTAAATAAAACTAACTAAACACTCTTAAAAATGAATCGCGGAATTTCTAGAAACACAGGGTCGTCCTCAAACGAAAATTCTCTGGGCCCCATGGAGGCCACTTTGAGCTGTCTCTGGATCGTAACGCCCTTATTTGCTACCATTTCCGTGTTGGTCGTGTTGGTAGCCTTGATTACTAGCCAGTGGTTGCATACAGAGGAAAAAATGCACAACCCTTCGTACAATGGTACCGGCGAAAAGGATTATCTTTCCAAAGCGACCATGTCCGGATTGTGGAAGATTTGCTTTACCCACCGTGAGTACCCTTCTTTTTGAAAAAACTCATTTATTATAATTTTAACTTTTTAAAATACTTAAATAACTTTTTATAATCCAAAAACATGAAAAAATGTATGAGCATAATATAGTTTTAAATTTTAAACATATTAAATTATACAGGGTGAGATTTTTTAACAGCGTTATTCCAAATAAATTTGTGTACCTAGTACCCATTTAATTTCCAAATAATAAAAAAAGTTGCGGAGACAAAATATTTATCACTTTTATTTTTTGGACCACCCTAATATTACGAATTTATTGGGAAATTTTTGGCAAACTGGCCAGAACCGACCTCAAAATTTAATTAAACTTTGAAAGGCTGTTTTTCTTTTATTCTTGAGTTTTGATAAAAAAGTATTTGTTTAACTTTATACACTTTTCAAAAACGTTTTGGACCTAAGAATATTAAAAAGCACAATCACAAAATACGTGTATAGTACTGTGTATACAGTGTGTCCGAAAATAACGTTAATATATTTCGGCGGATGATTCTACACGTAAAAATAAAAGAAAAATTTGCTTTAAACAGATGTCCGAAAATGCCTCCTGGGGGCGCTATAGCCATTTTAAACTGTTCCGCAAAATCAGGTTTTTATTAATTATTTCAGAAATGGCTTGTGTTAAAATTATGATACTTTATTTCTTAAACTAAATAATTAAGGATAATTTTCTGTCAGTGTAAAGCTAATTTTGTGTTATTTTCTAAAATTAATACAATATATGTATTTTTGTGTTCTAAATTAACCCTAATTATTATTGTCACGTGGTGGGACTTTGATGTGTGGAGCATTTTGAACTTAAAATGCATATTTTAAAATATTATATACCACTTTATCAAGGAAGGCAGGGTTACGTTTGTCGAAAGCGGTAACAAAAAATATTTAAGTTTAAAAACATTTAACTACATCATAAACATACGATTCCATTGTCAAACATAAATTAAAATTTTCAAAACAATTTAGTACGTTAAAAACTGATTTTAAAATATTGAAATTTATAAACTTTATTTTAGAACATAATGTTAAAAATATATTTTAGGACATTAAAAACAAAGGTATTTTAGAACGTCAAAATTGACTCAAAAACACATTTTCACTGTACAGTAAAAAATACTTGTTAATTTTAACCAAATATTAACCATATTTTATTTTTATTCATGTCCACATAACTTTATGTTAGGTTTACAACCAACTTTAATCTGTTAACTAATTAATTAATTATTTTGTAATTATAACAAACATATTGAAGATTTAATAACAAAACCATATGGTAATAATTCAACCATACTTATGAAAGTCGCTATGACAGGCACCATAGCGTAAAGTGAGTGTCCCTGTATTCATACTTTATGTATGTCACATTACTATTTGTATATACCTATATCTAACCATAAATAAATATATAACTTGTTAAAAATCAAAATAAATATAACAATAAATCCCTAATAAATATTAACGATTATCTTTAAAACAATTTGTGGCAAAGGAGCAGAGTCTCGGCCAAACAAAACTACATACATACATTAAACCATAATTCTTGTAGTTTTCAAATGGACCTTATTTTTACAAACCTTTTTGTTGACCTAATAACAAAAGAATTTGATGGAAATCGGGAAAATAAATTGCTATTGCTATTAATCATTTCCGAAAGAAAAAAATTAATACATACCCACATAAATGAACACAAAAATAACATACACACAATTAAATACCGCACCATTTGTATATCATCAAATTATAAAGAAATTTGGTACAATATAATTATCAGTACTACTATAACACTTACGGATGTATTTCATAAGTTTAACTCACTTCGCTGTATCCCCTAGTTTCAATTTGAAAATCAATGATGGCATCTTTTTCGGATACATCGCACTTCGCAAACTCGTTAAATAGGTATAAGGAATCTGAATAACAATAATAAAAGATTTCTGGTAATATATTATGAATGAGAATAAAGTAAGCAGAAATATATTGCAGACGCTGAAGTTGATGTCAGTGGGAAATGGTTTGATTGACTGCCTGAAAAGTGAACTTTTTTAACGAAATAATTTGTTAAACATTAACAAAATAATCTGTAACCTTTGAAATTAACAAAATGCTTACAAAATTGCACATTACCTTTACAAAACTTTCAGTAAAATATTTTCCTTTGTTAAAATAATTAAAAACCCTGGTTTTGTACAAAAAATGATGTTAAAATTTTACAAAATAAAATTAACAAACTACAAACTCATGTTAACAAATTAGATTTTATAACGGTGTGGCACTGTATATGGAAGTTGGTATAGTTATATTAAAAAGTTGTGGCTGTGTATTTATGCCATATATAAAGCATGTAAGTAGAAATTCGCCCAGGGCGCTGCAGAGATCAGAACCCCTCCACTAATGGAAGTGTCTTGTATTGAAAATTGTTCATAGCGCGCTGCTTTCTGAATTTAGATTACGATCAGCACCCTTACCATATCAAAAAGGTTATATTCCTATTTTAGAAAAAAATTATACTTATGAGTAGAGAACGGACTTTAATTCACTTAAGTTTGACTTAAAATTGTGCAAAATATGCTTGTCAAAGAACACAAAAAGATATAAATAAAAATAGCTACCTAAACAAGTAATGTACTTATTTTTTTTTAAATAGGTTTAAGAAACTAGATAATTTATATAAAACAAGGTATTTCGACTGTTAGTATTCTTAGAAAACATGTTTTAATAGACTTATATAATATATTTGTAATTTTCTAGACGACTATCAGGTTAAAATAGTTAGAGACAAAAGCAAAAATAACTGGTTGAATAAGTATTGAAAGGATAACGAGGGCTTTACTCCCGTGTTGTTCTCATTTAATGCTGCTTAAGCGCTCTAATGAATTCATTTTGAGACTTTATTAAAAAGATACGGAGCTCATACGGCGTCGGTGCCAAGCTATACACTGCTTTATTAACAATTTCGTCCGAACTATAACTTTGGTCTATGCTACTCGCACTAAGCGTCCCTTTCACATTTTTAATATTTTTTAATGTTTATTTGCGATTCTTAATTTTTTAAGGACATTCTAAAAAGTTGGGCTTTTAGTATTTACTAATCAATTTTAATAAATAATAATAAGAATATATGTTTTTTAATAATTTTAACATAAAATATTTAAAAATAATTTTGTAGGTAATTTAAATTTAATTACCTACAAAATTATTTTTAATGTATAATGATAATGAATATGTCTCCGACTGATGTTGCCAGAGCTATTAATTTAATCCAGGATGGACGGTCACAGTATTACGTGGCAAGTGTTTTAAACGTCATAAGAAGTAAAGTACAAAGGGCAACATCAGTCGGAGACATTTTTAAAAGTAAGAAGTCACCTCAAAATTAACACATTAATTTACAAAAAACAATTTGATAGCTTTTGAAAGCTGTATATGACATGTCCAAGTATGGGATGCTTCAACAAAACTGTCACTGTCATTCTCCATAGGCTATGGATGGACCATAGCAACCTTAGTTCTTCATACAGGAAAAATATTGGAAATTGCAATGTTTTTTAAAAAATCCATATTTTCCACAAAAATAAATATATCGAGGTGAACCAAAAACAAAACTGTTAAGAATAGATGTGACTTGATAAATAAAACTTAATTTAGAACAATATACGGTTTTGCCACTCTACAGAGTGTATTAAACTTATGGTAAAAAACATCTTTTTGTTTAAACCTGTATATTATAAACGTACGTCTATTTTTTAGTATTTTTTTTTAAAATGCGAGCGATTGTCCATTAATTTATCTACAATATTCTTTAATATTCGTTTAAATCCGACATCAAATAAAAAAGTTATTTGCGATTGAAATTCATCGAAAATTTGTGTGGATCGATTATTTTGCACGCGAGTGTATTTGTAGAAATTAAGACAAAATTAACGTGACACTGACAGAAAATTAACCTTAATTATTTCTATCAGTAACGTCGTGGGACTTTGATGTGTGGAGTACCACAAAATTGATATGTTACTTTTTTACATATCATAGATGGTGGTGTTTAAAAAAGTATTTTACTTTGCAAAATAATAGCAATATAATTAGAATTATTTGTAGAGGATTTGATGCCTTTAAGGAATAAAAAAATATCCATACAGAAAGAAATAACGAAAACCATATTTTTCTGTGTTATTTAAACTCGTTGGGAAGCTAAGATTTTAGATAACTTTTATTTTGGCATAATCTAATGTTTATGTTTTTTTAACACCCTCATACATGTATTGTTATTTTTGTTATGCCCAATTTGCAATAGTGAAATCATTCTATCAGGAGGCAAAAAAATCTTTTTTTCCCATTGAAATAATCCATTCCTCCTCTTTTCCGTGACAAAAACCAAATTGCTTGAAATAATCCCGACAGGATAAAAACAAATCCTCAAGCCAAGGTGGGACCGTGATGCACGCCCTAGGTTTTTTTTGTTCAGCTGTTGGCTTTACTTTTATTTTTTACTGTCGTAGTAAACTATAGTATATGTCGCAACGTCTTTGTTTTATTGTTTGCAGCGTTTAAAAAGTTGGTTCGTTTTGCGAGAATTTCTCTTTATTAGTATACAAGGGAATATCCCGGCGCATTCGCCAATTTTGATAGAATAAGTTTCAAATATGGCTAATGCGTGGGGTTTATTACGTATTAACATTCCAGTTTTGGAATGTGTATTTATTAGGGTGATTCATTTCCGCAAAGTTTTTGTTTTTTTTTCGGTGCTCAAGCAAAATATTAATCTACCTATAGAAAAAAAATTTTCACCAAGGTAGAGCTCTTAATATCAATTTTAAGTACTTGCAGTTTAAATTTAAAGTTTTCCCATTTAAAATGCATGTAAAAAAAATGTTTTTTTTTTCAAATTTCTAATGCTTACCCACCTTTGACAATATTGCAAATCGGTTTAATACACCTTATGGGGAATTTCACGCTCTTTAAAATTGCTTTTGAGTTTTTTTTT